CTCCATCCATGTCCCTCTCTTAAGGGAAGAACCAAGGATCTGCTCCTTCATTGTTTCTCTGCCTAAAGCAAGGCAGGATCCTGATGATGCTTGTGATCAGTTGAACAAATCACTGGGCTGGTTCATTCATGACGTGCTCTCACTGCTATGTGTCTGCTGTGATTTATTCTGTATTTAATAAAGGCATTTTTCTCATTGCCTTGGCAGTACTTGGGCAGCAATTGTTGAGAAATAAGACAATTATTGACAAATATAACGATTATTGACAGAATCAGCTTTATAAACATGCCCCTGTGCTGTGCACATCATGGAATGGCCTCTCCTGGCATTTAACAAGGGTAATAAATGTTAATTGCAGGCAGAGCAGCTCCCAGGCCGGTGCTGATGGACAGCTGCAGGCAGCAGGGCTGGCCTCTGTCATGTTGGGAATGACTCCTGCTGCTGAGGGCTCTTTGGGATGCTCCAGCAGCACCAGACAGGTGGAGCTGGGCTGTCTCCCACCTTTCCTGCTGCCATCATCTTCCTCCTGACAGCCTGGCCCTGCCTGTGACATGTTGTTAAACAGCTCCTGCTTTATCCCAGTGTCCAGGGAGGCTGGCATGGATCCAGTGCCAGAGCTGAAATCTCCTTCTGCTGTGAAGAAAAACTCCTTCCACAGTGAGGAAAAACCTCCTCTGCTTCAGAAGATGAAGAAAATCATCATCTCACAGACACCATGGTCTTGTTCATGAACCTTGTGGCTTCCTGGGCTGGATGTTCCCCTCTGGAATGTGATTCCAGCTCCTCTCTCCATCAAATTGAGATTTTTCCCAGCCACAGCTTGTGCCAGTGGCCTTGGTCCTCCAGCTCCAGCTCGCTTTTCTCCTCACTGATCTTATGGAAAATCAAAATCTTCATTTACTTCCCTGCAGTGGAGACTCTTGGATGTTGTTTTTTTTATCAGCTCCTCTTTAATCTGTCATTTTGTTTTATCTGGCAAAGGTTAATTTTATATTCTCCCCTCGCTCTGCTCCTCTCCCCTTTGTCAGCAAGTCCTTTGTTGTTTTATTTTCTGATCTGGTGACTGCACCTCTCTCTTGCTGGGCTGCTGGAGGTCCTGGCTGAATGCTAATTCACCCCCTTGGATTTAAAAATGTAGAGGAGACACCTCATCCCTGCTGCTGAGATGTTTGCCTGGGTGCGAATGCATTTATTTTCAATTTTCCTGAGGCAGATTACACCGTGCTTATGCTGACAGAATTATTTGACAGCATCCCCTGATATTTCAGTGTCTGGTAGAGAGAGAGCCCAAAAAATCCTGAGGAGGTTTTGCAGTTTGTTTTCTCTTTAATCTGCTCTCTTTGTGGCTGAGAGCAGGGAATGGATTGTGCAGCTCCATGGCCTTGATAACGTCACAGGAACATCCGAATTGTTTGATCCGAGCCCATTAAGTGGTGAGGGGAGACAGAGGGAAAATAACAGAGGGAGGCAGAGCAGTGATCCAAATAATTGTCTAAGTGCCAACCCCAAGCCAGGCTCATCCTCTGTGCCAGGAATTAGGGAGATGGATGTTCCCAATAATGGGTTTTACCAAGGGTGGCGGTGGGGAAAAAGGATGAGCAAAGCATCCATACATAAAATATCCCAAAGTCTGGGCAGGTAGCACTTCAAAGGCAGCCTTGCCTTCCCAAATTAATGGGCCTTGGCAGCTGCAGCCAGGGATAGATTGAACCCCTGGAGAGCTGGAGGGTTTTTCATGCACGCTCTTCTCCTCAGCTTCGTTTTAAGCCTGGTTTTAATTATCTCCGTGGCAATGGCAGCCAGGTTGGGTGGCTCTCTTTGGGAACCAGAAAAAGTCGGGGGTTTATTTGTGGTGGGAAGAGTTTCCCCTCCACCAGGGCTGCAGATCCCTCCGGTTTGTCCCAACCCCCTTGGGCACTTGGGGATGTTCTTGGGCTGTTCCACTGAGCATCCTGCATCTGCCAGTGCTCAGCCAGGTGTAAACGACTTCCCAAGGACACAAATTAACTCACAGCTCCTTCTCCAAAGGCTCCATTTGTTGTTGGATCCCCGAAGACATTCCCTGTGGGAAGGGCGTGGTGTGGATGGAAGGAGTTTGGTGAATGCAGTGGGTGAATCTGGAGAAGAGCAAGGGGGAAAAATGAATTCGGCAGTTGGAAAGGGCAGCTGAAATGGCAGATTTTATTGTCAGCAAGCCCCAAGGAGTCTGCAACACCCTGGGAATGGATTTGTCACCTGTGGGTGACAGAGCTGAGCCAGGGACAGCAGCAGGGGAGGCTGGAGCAGTGCCTGGAGTGACTGAGCTGCTTTCTTGCTCCAGCTTCTGTGGGATGTGCTGGGCTGTGGCCACAGCAAAAAGTGTTGAGGCAAAACTGGACTTGTTTCGTGCTGGATTTATTTTGCACCAGCTCAAGTCACCCACTGCATTCTTGGGAGGCTTTCCTGAGGGATGTGCAGGAGAATTCACCTGGAAAATGCTTGATCCCACCTAAGAGGCATTTTCCTCCTGCTGTTAAAGAAAGCTGGAAGGGACTGGAAAATGGCAAATCCACCTAAAGTCCTGAAGAACAGGCATTTTTCTTATCCCAATAATAAAAGATTCTGATTTAGTGGTGACCAAAAGATTCTGATTCAGGGGTGACCAAAAAATTCTGATTCAGTGGTGACCAAAAGGTTCTAATTCAGGGGTGACCAAAAAGTTCTGATTCAGGGGTGACCAAAAAGTTCTGATTCAGTGGTGACCAAAAGATTCTGATTCAGGGGTGACCAAAAGGTTCTGATTCAGGGGTGACCAAAAGCTTCCCTGCTGCTCCTGTGAGGGTGGTAATTAAAGAATTAATGGGAAAGAACTAACGGAAGATCCAGAGTGGTGTTTTCCCCTCTTGGTTTTCAGTCCATGTGAAATGTCTGATATTTATATGATGGCAGGCGTTCTGTCAGTGGGCTCTGGCAGCCTGGGAATCACTTCTTCCTCCTGCAGATAAATCCCAGGAATTGGTGGGAGTGTCCCAGCTGAGGGGATGAGGGCAGGGATGGCCGTGGGGCCGTGGGACTGATGTCTCTTTCCCTTTGCAGTTTCCTGCTTTTTCAACTTCACCAGCCCGTCGGGGATCGTGCTGTCCCCGAACTACCCCGAGGAGTACGGGAGCAGCCTGCACTGCGTGTGGCTCATCATCGCCAACCCCGAGAGCAGGATCCACCTGGCCTTCAATGACTTCGATGTGGAGCCCCAGTTCGACTTCCTGGCCGTCAAGGACGGGGGCACGGCCGAGTCACCGGTGCTGGGCACCTTCTCAGGGAGCCACATCCCCTCCTCACTGACCAGCAGCGGCCATGTGGCCAGGCTGGAGTTCCAGACTGACCACTCCATGGAGAAGAGAGGCTTCAACATCACCTTCACCAGTGAGTGGGATGCTTTGGGGACTCCTAAAAACAGAGGCCAGACAGAATCCAGGGAATAAAAAGCAGTTCTATTTATTGAGGGGTCTTCAGGGACATTTCAGGCAGACAAAGCCCCCCAGGGGCTGCACCCAAAATGGACCACGGGTCAGGGGTTTCACACTTTTATAAGTTTGGGCCATTTGCATATTGGGGTTAATCTCCCAATTCCAGCTTCAGGTAATGAAGTCATTTCCCCCAAGTTTGCTGCCCCCAACTCCCTTTTGTTTCCATCTCTGGGGGCCTGAGGCAGTGAGGTGTCCTTGATTGCCAGGGCTGGAGAGGAATTGCTGTGTCTGACCCAAATGGGAAAGCAGCAGCTCACACTGTGTGTGGAGTTTGGAGTTACACACTAAAGAACTGCAGGGTTACAAATGCATGAAAAATAGAAAAGCTGAAATCCTGAGTCATCAAGTGTCCCACCCTTCCTTCTGCCCGGGTTTTAAATAAACTCTAAATTCATGTTGGAAACTGCAGAGATGGATCTTGCTAAAGCTGTTGGAATTCAAAAGTAAACCTGAAAATTGAGGATTAATTTGGATTTGCAGTTGGGTAATGGAGAATTGGTGGCAAGTTTAGAGCTCGTGGCACAGATTCTTTCTGGCTGTGAAGTTGAAGTGTTGTCCACAAAAAAACCCAGTTTGGTCCTGGATTATCTGTTCATGGAAGCCAGGATTCGGGTTCTTCCCTCAGGGTTTGCTGGAGAAAGATTTTGGCCAAGTGTGTAGTGATGGGATGAGGGGAATGACCTGAAATTGGATATTGGGATGAAATTTTTCCCTGTGAGGGTGGGGAGGGGCTGGGATGGGCTTCCCAGGAATCTGTGGCTGCCACCCTTGTATGCTGACAGCCAGAGATGCAAAACTTTGGAGAAAAAGGCAAATGTAGCCCTGTCTTGTGTTAGAAAGCCTTGACATTTCCAGAGAGAGATTTGGCTCCATGTTAAGTCCACTCCTCAAATCCCTACGGTAATTTTATCATATTGTTCTGTAATTTTCCAAAGAGCCTTATTAAACCTCTTCAGCAGAGCTTTGTTAGGCTGTGCCTTCGGTGGCAAAGATAAATTAATGGCCTTTTCAGCCCTGTTTGCTGAGCCTTTATTTAAAGAAAAAAAAATCAAAAAATCAAAAAATCAGAGGGCTTAAGGAAGCATTTGCCAAGCTCCATCAGGCTGAGGACTCCTCAGAGGAGGGGATTTGGGTGAGGTTTGGGTTTGGGTTTGGGGGTGCCACAGAGGCAGGACTGTGGGTGGCACCTCAAGAACACTGCTGGTTGGAAGCTGGGACTGTCCCTTGCATGGGGACATTTTTCAGGCACACTTTCAGGACATTTTTCAGGTTTTTCAGTGCTGGGAATGACTCAGGAATGAGTTAATGTGTTCTGACCGCTTCGAGTCCTGCACTGAGCCTTTCCCAGCCAGGTTTAAGTATTTAAGTCCTCTTTAAATTTAACGTGGTATTTTCTAGTTGTCCTCTGGTGCTCTGGTTTGTGTCACAGTTAACTTGTGGAGAATTCAGTCAGTGGACAAGGAGGGTAACATGATTGCTTTTCACCATTATACAGAGGTATTTTCAAGTGTTCAGTTAAGGCCTATAATATTGTATATTCACCTCACTATTTCCATAAGCTGTGCAGTACATATTTGAACTAGTAGATTACATTAAACTAACAAACAGCTAAATAAAGGTATATATGATATTACAGCCAACCACTGTTACCACTGGAGATGAATAGATCACACGGACACAGGTCGAGGTGTGGTGAAAAGAAGAGAAAGTTTATTTTTCCTCCCAGCATTTATAGGTTTCTGACCCCAGCCAGGGATGGGATGGTCAGGATAACACTTTCCCCCTGCACTGGCCATGAGAAATGCCCATCACAAGACGTGGAACAGAAAGAATGTACACATATCTATGTTTACAGTCACTGTCCTGGGAAAGTCCTTAGAAAACCATGTTAGCAAGCTCAGAAGCTGAGTTTTCAGGGCGACAAACCACTTATGATCAATGCAAAAACCAATATATAAATGCAAAAGCCAATATCATATTGCAGTCCTTTTTTCAGCACGAGGATAAAGTTGTGTGTTTTTTTACGGGAGGAGTGATCAAGGGCTGGAAATATCCCGATTCCCCTGTTTTCTTCTTCTCTTTCCCTCCTCCGCTCCTCCTGCCAGCGTTCCGGCACAACGAGTGTCCGGACCCCGGCGTGCCGGTGAACGGGAAGCGCTTTGGGGACAGCCTGCAGCTGGGCAGCTCCGTGTCCTTCCTGTGTGACGAGGGCTTCATCCGCACCCACGGCGCCGAGACCGTCACCTGTGTCCTGCAGGAGGGCAACGTGGTGTGGGACAACGCCGTGCTGCGCTGTGAAGGTGATCCCACCCGCCGTGCCTTGGGGTGGCAGGGTGTTAAAGATCCCCTTTTGCCTCTTCCCATGGCCGGGGACACTTCCATGAGCCCTGTGCTCCTGTCCAGCCTGGCCTTGGGCGCTCCCAGGGATCCAGGGGCGGCCTCAGCTTCTCTGAGAATTCCGTGCCAGCTCCTCCCCACCCTCACAGCCAGGAATCCCTTCTGAATATCCCCAGATCTCCCCTTTCCAAGTTCTAAGCCATTCCCTGTGTCCTGTGCCTCCATCCCTTCTCCCAAGTACATCTCCAGCTCTTCTGGAGCCCATTTAGGCACTGGAAGGAGCTTTGAGCTCTCCCTGGAGCTTCTTTTCTCCAGGTGAACATTCCCAGCCTACTGAGAGAGAGAACCTTCTCCTTTTTCTCTTCTTTTTCTCCTCTTTTTCTCTTCTCTTCTCTTCTCTTCTCTTTTCTCTTCTCTTCTCTTCTCTTCTCTTCTCTTCTCTTCTCTTCTCTTCTCTTCTCTTCTCTTCTCTTCTCTTCTCTTCTCTTCCTCTTCCTCTTCCTCTTCCTCTCCCTCTCCCTCTCCCTCTCCCTCTCCCTCTTCCTCTCCCTCCTCCTCTTCCTCTCCCTCCTCCTCTCCCTCCTCCTCTCCCTCCTCCTCTCCCTCTTCTCCAGGTGAACATTTTTGCAGGGACTGGGATTTCTGGGGGAATTTTGCATCCTTTTGGGATCCAGAATCAGGGTTCTGCCTGTCAGGGTCTCACTCCCACATTCCATAATGTCCAGCCAACACCTTCCAGGATCTCCCACACTTCTGGAAGGTGCTGTCTGCACAGAGGAGTTTGCTGGGGAGGAAGTTTCAGCTCAAATATTCCTGAGCTCTGTTTATTTTCCGATTGTTTTGGTACGAAATGAACACTGGGGAGTATTTTTATTGTATTTATTTGAGGATCAGTTTGCAACAGGTGTTTTTCTAGTAACAATAATAATAATAAAGGGTTCTGGTTTAGTGATGACTCAAAGCTTCCCTGCTGCTCCTGTCGGGGAGGGAATGAAACAACAGGGAATGGAGGAGCCAGGGTGATGTTTTCCCATGCTGGTTTTTGATCCCTGTAAAATATCTGATATTGATATGATGGCAGAAGTTTGTCGGTGGGTTCTGGCAGCTGAGAGGCAGAAATTCTGCATTTCCATCTCCTGGCCACAACAGCCAACCCTGCCATGGTGGGAGCTGGGCTGATTTAAAGGCTTTAATTCAGATTTCAAAGCTTTCTTAGGACTTTTAAGCCTCTCCTCTGGAAAAGGGAAGTGAAGAAGGAGCTCATTAGGACTGAAAATCTCCCTGTATGCTGTGTTCTCAGGGAAGTGATGCCTTGCTCTGGTATTTTCAGCAATTTGAATAACAAGTGCTGAGCTCTTGAGAAACAGCCCTGGAATATTGAGAAATAATTGGAGTAATTGGCCCTGCATTGCCTGGGCAGCAGGAATTGCACGATCCTGGCCATTGTCTTTGGGGTGGAAGGAAGGAACCAATTGTCTTCGACAGCTTTTGTAGAATAAAAAAGCTCTTTTTGTATTCTTAAATAATTTTACTCTTGACAAAATACAGGTTTAATTCAGGGCTCCTGTTACTTTCAAAGCATTAGCCTTTAAATTTACATATTTTTAAGTATGGAAGGGAAACATATATTAAATAGTACATTCTTAATAAACTTTTATGTTTGATAACCTTCTGCCTTCTCCTCCTGATCACTCTGGTGATTTCTTTGACTCACCCTTCAGTCTGGACATTTTAATTACCCTTTTTAAGCAAAGAGAAAAGCCCAGAGATCTAAAGTCCTGCTCAGCACTTGAAAAAATTAATGGGAATGAAGGAGACAGAGAAAAGGGTGGAAATCCTGACAGGGGACGATGCAGCTTTGGGGCAGAAAGGAAAAATAATTGCTTTGGAGTCAGCTGAGATCAAATGACTTTCATCTGCCGCCCTTCAGAGCAGCAGGGGAGCTTTGGGGCTGGCACTCCACTGGGGTACAGTGACATTGGGGCTGGCCCTGGGTCCCTTCTTGGAGGACAAACCCTGGCAGTTCCTGAGGGCTGTGGGATTTTTGTGCCTCTGAGCCCTCAGACCCAGCTTCCTTTGCTCAGAAAACGCGACTGGGGACCGTGGTGTGGAATTCCTGCCCTGCTCTGGTGATGTCCCTCGTGGTAGCAAAGCCATGACTCAATTAGCAGGGCTGGGAGAGATTTTCTGGCACCTGAAATGCCAAGTGACCTTGCAGTTTCCTCTGCTTTTATATCCAATCGTTATTTTACACCCGGTCCGCTCCGAGCAGGGCCCAATGTCAGCCCTGCCAGCTCCCAGGGGGACAGTGTCTGCATTTGGAGCTGAAAAGGCAATTTCTGAGCAGTTTGGTTTTCCATCTGGCTCTGGTGATTTTTAACTCGTGGGAGGAGGGAAATGCAGGGAAGGGGTTTCACAGGGGGGGACATCTCGGGGTGCTGCAGCTCCGTGACGTTTTTCACCCTGATTTCAAAGATGCGGCTCTCAGGGATGTGGTTTAGTGGTGGCATTGGCAGTGTTGGGCTGGATGAGCCTGAAGGTCTTTCCTAGCCTGGATAATTGTGTGATTTGTGTCCTTTTTGTGTCCCCAGCACCCTGTGGGGGCCACCTGACGTCACCCAGCGGAACCATCCTGTCCCCAGGCTGGCCTGGCTTCTACAAGGACTCGCTGAGCTGTGCCTGGGTCATCGAGGCCCAGCCAGGCTACCCCATCAAGATCACCTTTGACAGGTGCTCAGCAGCACGGGCAGCCCCCAGATCCCCTGGGTTTGGGTGCTTCTGGTGGTTCCAGGTGCAGCCAGGGGAAGGGAATCAGCTGCTCCACGTCCTGTCTGGCTCTGAGGTTCTCCCCTCTCCCCTTTCCCATTTCTGAGCTCCTGGCAGGGAATTAAATCCCACCCAGCACTGGGGAAGGAAAGGTGGGAATGGTTCTGTCTGAACCACTCCTGCTTGCTTTCAGGGGTGTTTTAGACACAGTTTTGGGGGCTGAGCTCCCACAGACTCCTCGGGTGGGGGGAGCAGTAGGAGATGCTGAGTTTTTTGGCTTCCCCTGGATTTCCTGGCTGAGGAGGGCTGTGCTCTGCTGGCTATGTGGGGAGACTTGTTCAGGGGGCACAAGGATGAGGATGGATATAGATCCAGATATCCTGAGCTGCTGTTTGGATTCCTGGCAGTGCCAAGAATACCCCAGAGAGCAGAAAGGAGCTGCCCCTGCCACCGCTGTGGCATTTGGGGCTCCATGGCTCTTTCAGCCCTGTTTCATTTGCTGCCTCAGCACCTGGGCAACGTTTGAGGGCTGGAGAAGCTCCCAGCCTGGTGGGGGTCAGCAGGTGAAGAGGTGAAGGATCACAAAAAACCCCCAAACACGTGAGGTGCCCTCAGTGAGACACTCAGAAAGGACCCACCTGGTGGTTCCAGGAGTGAAATGAGGACAGAAGGAGAAGTTCTGGGGGTTCAGTTTCCTCGTGTCCCTTCCAGGTTCAAGACAGAGGTGAATTATGACACTCTGGAGGTGCGGGATGGCCGGTCCTACTCCTCACCCCTTATTGGGGTCTACGACGGCACCCAGGTGCCCCAGTTCCTGATCAGCACCAGCAACCACCTCTACCTCCTGTTCACCACCGACAAGAGCCACTCTGACATCGGCTTCCAGATCCGATATGAAAGTAAGGACACGTTGTTCATGGAATTCCCTGGAATTCCCTGGAATTCCCCGGTCTCCAGCAGCACCTTGGCCTGGCTTAGTGCCACCTGGGTCTCTTTTTCCTGGTTCCAGGCAGTTCACACTGCTCAAGGACTGGGCAGTGGGAAGCTGCTGCCAGTGGAGGAGCAGTTTCTGCTTTTCCTGGTGTCCCAGAATGGTTTGGCTTGGACAGAAACTTAAAACCCATGGGTAGGGACAGCTCCCGCTATCCCAGGCTGCTCCAAGCACTGTCCAAGCTGGCCTTGGACACTTCCAGGGGTGAGCTTCTCTGGGAAAACCTTCCCAGCCCCTCCCCAGCCTCACAGGGAAGAACTCCTTCCCAATATCCCACCCAAATCTCCCCTTTTGCAGTCTGAAGCCATTCCTCCTCTGGTTGTTTGTAGAAGCTTTTATTTTTATTTTATCATCTGCAGAATATTCTTGATTTTAGGAGGCAGAGCTGAGCTCACAGATTTGGAATATCCAGAGTTAGATCCCACAGGGGTCGTGGAGTCCAGCTCCTGGCCCTGCACAGGACAGGCCCAAGAATCCCATACCAGCTCCCATCTCCATTTCCTCCTCTCACCTTGGGGATTTTCCTCTCTCCATTTCCTCCTCTCACTTTGAGGATTTTCCTCTCTCCATCCTCTCACTTTGGGGATTTTCCTCTCTCCATTTCCTCCTCTCACTTTGAGGATTTTCCTCTCTCCATCCTCTCACTTTGAGGATTTTCCTCTCTCCATCCTCTCACTTTGGGGATTTTCCTCTCTCCATCCTCTCACTTTGGGGATTTTCCTCTCTCCATCCTCTCACTTTGGGGATTTTCCTCTCTCCATTTTCTCCCCTCCCTTGGGGGAATTCCTTCTCTCCGTCCCCTCATTTTGGGGAATTTCCTCTCCATCCTTTCACTTTGAGGCTTTTCCTCTCCCCATTTCCTCCTCTCACTTGGAGGTTTTTCCTGTCTCCATCCCCTCCCTTGGGGAGTTCCCTCTCTCCCTTTCACACTCTGACTCTGTGGGTATCCAGCAGGGTGTGGAAGGGTGGTGTGGGAGGGCTGTGCTCCCCCTGGGCTGCAGGATGCCCTGGCTGAGGGCTGTGCCCCTGTCCCCAGCTGTGAAGCTGCAGTCCGACCACTGCCTGGACCCGGGGATCCCGGTGAACGGGCAGCGCCACGGGAACGATTTCTACGTGGGAGCGCTGGTGACGTTCAGCTGTGACCCCGGCTACACCCTGAGCGACAGTGAGGCCCTGGAGTGCGAGCCCAACTTCCAGTGGAGCCGGCCCCTGCCCAGCTGCGAGGGTGAGGAAACCTCTGCACACCCTTGCCGTGCACAGCCACTGCCAAAGCAGCACCTGGAGAGCTCCCAGTGCCATTCAATCCATGATTTTGTTGGGTTGATGGATGGGTTTAGTTGGTCAAACTCAACAGTTGGGGTTGATTGGATTTTGGGTTGATTGGCCTCTTTGGTTGATTGAAAATGAGATTGGTCTCATTTTCCTGGGCTGGGTTTTGGTTTTCCTTTTTCCTCCCGGCTTGTGAAAGATTCTGGATTATTGAATTCTTTTGCTCCTTTTTTTTTTTTTTGGTGTTTTTAGCTCTCTGTGGGGGCTACATCCGTGGCTCCAGTGGCACCATCCTCTCCCCAGGCTTCCCTGATTTTTATCCCAACAACCTGAACTGCACATGGACGATAGAAACATCCCATGGGAAAGGTGAGACACCTTGGGTGTGCTTGGAGAGGACTGAGGGTGGCGGGCAGTGGGAGAGAAACTTTTCCCTCTGGGATCCAAGAGTTCCTCTCAGGAATTCCATTGTCCCTGGACAAGATCCGGAGGGTTTTGATGTCTCCTCTTCATCCTTTTAAAGTGGAGAAGGGAAAATCCTTCTCATCAAATGGGGCCTGTGCTCTGTGTTATCTCCTGTTCCAGACCTTTGTGGCTCTATCCTGAAAGTCAGGATGTGGCTGGATATAGATCCAGATATCCGGAAAATCATTCCCTGGGTGCTGTCTCTGTCACAGAGGGATCTGTCCCTCCTGAGGGACTTATGGAGGTGTTCAGCTCCTTCCCTCCAAGGTTTTTGGGAACATCTCCCACATGGTCAATGCACGAGTCCTGGAATTGCCCCAGCTGCTCTAACAATTATTTCCCTCTGACACTTTATGGACTCCCAGGCTATACAAATGGAGTTTAAAAGCAGCTGACTTTTAAAGGTATTTAAATGCCTAAAGAGAGGCCATTATTTTTAATCTCACTGCTTCAAAGTGATTTCTTTCCCCTCTAATTTGTTTTGCTGTTTTTTCTGCAGAGAAGGGGGGTGGAAATTAAAAGCCCAGCCCTGTGTTTGCAGAGATGTTCTGTGCCACAGTAAATTGCAGAGCAGAACAAAGGTTTAATTGGTCACAAATCCTTTAAAATGAGTTCATAATTAGCCCTTTTTGCTACAGTTCCACAGTGCTGGAGGAGCCTCATGCTGGAGGAGCCTCATGCCCTCTGCTTGGAGTTTTTACCTTACGAAACTTGGAGTTTGGGCATGTTCTCCAGGATAACTGAATTATCCTAGTGCTGATTCCAGAGGAGTGATGTTATTTCTGTTCCTTAGGCTGGGTTTGCTAAAGCTCAGGGTATAAATTTGCTGTCGGGGGAGAGTTAAAGTGATTTTGCATTCCCCACATCCCACTTCTCAGGTCAGGACTATTTCTGGTTTGTGCTTTTGGTAGGAGTAGCAAACATTTGGAAACTCTTGGAAGTTTCCTGCTTTTGTGGAATTTTGCAGGGGGGAAAGAGCAAAACTAAAATGTTCACTATAGAATGGATATAAAGAAGTAATTATGAAAGTCAGCCCTAAGCTTTGGGTCATCAAAATCCTTCTGGGACACTGAAGGGCAGTGGGGTGCTGCAGAGGGATAAAGGTTGGGATGATCCCATGATTCCTTCATTCCCAGTCCCATGGGAAATGCTCCTCATTGGTTTCCAGCCTCTCTGACCTTCACTTCTGGGAAGGGAATTGCTGTGTGTGAGCAGCAAACCTTCAGGAAGCACTTGGAGAAAGCCAGGGATGAATACATGGAATATTCACCTGGAATTTGATGTTGTGGGGTTGGATATTGGATCTCCAGAGCTTTTCTTGATCTCCAGGATGGCCTCATCCTGATCTCCAGAAATAAATAGGGAATTAATGGACTCTTCCTCTGGGATTTATTTGCAGGTTTCCTGCTGATTCTTTGGGATGCTGTATTTTGGGAATGGTGGGATGCAGATCCAACCCTTGGGGTGTGAATTATTGGCTTAAATTAAATAACCTGGTCAGGCCAAGCAGGGATCTCTCCCAAAGCTCAGTTTCCATCCTGGAGGAGTCTGTGTCTCTCCAGAGGGGTTCTGAACCAGATAAATCCCAATCCCACACGAACAGGGCCTCGGGAGCCTGCCCTGGATGCTCCAAGAGCTGGCAGATCAGGATGGGAAAATCCATCTATATGCAAAGAGGCTTTTTATTGCTTGGCATCTCCTTGCCTTGTTAAGTCGGTGTGACAATGCTGTGACAAAGTTCCTGAGCTCAGATCCTGCCTGCCTCTGCTCTCACTGCCGTTTTCTGTTGATTTTTTTTTTTTTCCCTAGTTTTATTTCCAAGCTGGAATTATTTTCCAGAGAATAAGTGTTTCTAATGGTGTTTGAATTCCAGCATGAAAAATCACCTCGCTGGAGGCTCCTGCAGGAGCCTGAAGTGCTTCCCATTGTGTGTCTGGAGGTGTGAAGGGGACTTTAAGTAATCCATTACTCCTCTCTGGCTCATTTACAAATGCAGCAAGGTCACAGCCTTCTCCCCAAATGTTTCAAATCCTTCACATTGAATTTAGGAGGAAGAGGCAAAATAGTTTTGCTGGTTTTGGCCAGGATTTCTGTGGCTGGAGCTGTTGTGGGGCTTATTTTGGGCAAGAAAAGGTGGATAAAAGTAGGGCTTTTCTTGGATCAAGCTGGTCCAGGGGAAGGTGTCCCTTCCCATGGTAGGGGTATGGAATAAGACAATTTTTAAGGTCATTCCCACCCAAATCATTCCATGATTCATGATCCATGACTCTCTGATTCAGTGCAATGTAGGAAGGTCCTTGCAGCTGCACCACTGACACACTTCTGGAAAAACCTCCCTGACCTTGAGGCTGGGCTTAAATCCTATTTTTCTAGGCAGGAATTCCTTTTGGAACATGATTGTTTTCCAGCCCTCCCAGCCCCAGCCCTGCTGCTCTTGCTCTCCATTTAAAAGCCAACACTTCTATAATAAAAGGCTCCCTCAGCCAGTGCTCTGTCCCTGGAGCAGATTTGTGTCAGCCCTGACAAGGACACAAGAATCCGATATTTCCAGGGCCTGTCCCTGCTCTGGGCCTGGTACCACACCCAGGCTTTAGAGTTCTTATCTATTTCATTTCTAACATAACAAAATCCTTGATTTCAGTGTGATTTCCCCGTGCTGTCGGTGGGGAGCAGGGCTTGGGCACTGGGAATGCTGTGGGGTGACTCCTCCTGTGCTTTCCCCCCCTCTGCAGGTGTGTTCTTCACCTTCCACACGTTCCACCTGGAGAATGGCCACGATTACCTGCTGATCACTGAGAACTCCAGCTTTGCCCAGCCCCTGAAGCAGCTGACAGGGTCCCAGCTGCCAGCCCCGCTCAGTGCAGGGCTCTTTGGGAACTTCTCAGCCCAGATCCGCTTCATCTCCGACTTCTCCATGTCCTATGAAGGCTTTAACATCACCTTCTCAGGTAAGAACAGCTGTCCAAAGCCTTCCCTTCCCTTCCCTTCCCTTCCCTTCCCTTCCCTTCCCTTCCCCCCCACCCAATCCTCCACTATCCCAGATTTCTCCAGCCTGGCCTTGGACACTTACAGGGATGGGCCACCCCTTCTCTGGGGTGCCAGGGCCCCCCAGTAAAATCCTGGGAATAATTTTCCATTAATTTGGGTCACTCCTTTTGTCACCCAGTAAATTATTAAACCCCAGTGTGTCCCAAGAATTTTTCCCAGTGTGTCCCAAGAAATATTCCCCTTGCAGCCCCCATATAGCCAGGGTGAACAATTCTGTCTGTCCTGGGCTGGATAACAGCAATGGACCCACTGGAATTAAATCCAGGTGTTGCTGTCTTCCTCCTCACCCTCATCTTCCTTGCTCTGCTTACGGACAGTTTCAGCTCAGGATTTTTGGGAAATGCTGCCCCACTTTCCCCAAACCCTTTCCCTGTTTTTAGAGGAAAATCTCTGCATCAGGCCCAGCATTTCCAGCGCAGGGACAGACGGGATCCTTTGGAAGCAGCAGGGAGCAATCTGGAGTGCTTGGATAAGGAGCAGGGCTGGTCACTCCCATTGCCCTCCTTTCACCTCCGGCTCACTGCTCCCCTTGGGTGCTCCTCCAGTCACCATCCTGTGCCTGCAGCCTGTCCTGGATGTGCCTCTGCCATGGAGCCAGGCTGGGACAGCCAGGAGTGTCCAGCTTGGAGAGGAGAAGCTCCAGGGAGAGCTCAGAGCCCCTTCCAGGGCCTAAAGGGGCTCCAGGAGAGCTGGAGAGGGACTGGGGACAGGGGGTGGAGGGACAGGACACAGGGAATGGCTTTCAACTGGGAAAGAGGAGAGATCTGGGTGGGATATTGGGAAGAAACTCCTCCCTGTGAGGGTGAGGGACTGGAATGGATTTCCCAGAGCAGCTGTGGCTGCCCCTGGATCCCTGGAAGTGCCCAAGGCCAGGCTGGTCAGGGCTTGGAGCAGCCTGGGACAGCGGAAGTTGTCCCTGCCATGGCAGGGGGTGGCACTGGATGATTCTTAGTGTCCCTTCCCACTCAAACCATTCCATGATTTTGACACACACCTGGCATATCCCAGACTGCATTTCCATGATCCCACTGGCGCTTCCAGGGAACTGGAAAATGCATTTTCCCTGGCTGGGCTGGCTCAGTTGCTCAGATGGGAGCCCTGTCCTGCTGCACCCAGCAGAGCTCTGAGGGATCCAGATTTCCCTGACTCCAGGAGTCAGGAGGAGGCTGAGGGAAATAATTCCTCCCAAGAGAAGTTCTAGCAGTCCCATGCTGAGCTGTGCTCGCTGAACCATCGTGGTGATGGTGGCTTTGAGTGGGTGTGGTGATCCAAAATGCAGATTTTTCAAAGGAAATCCTGATTTTCAGCAGTTGTCAGAAGGAGCATGGGGACTTGGAGAGGGACCCAAAAAAGGGACATGTGGCAGTACAGGGCAGCTGATGGCACTGGGGTAGCCTCTGGCTGAAGGGCAGGAGGTGTTGGACTGTGTCCTCTGGGCTGGAGTCCTCCAAATGACTCCGGAGTGCTCCCATTCCAGGGAATGTCAGTCTTTGCTGCCTGAGTGCCCCAGAAGCCATTCCCTACAACAATCAGTGAAGGACAGGAGCTTTATTTCACTGCTGCTGTGCTTGCCTCTGTCCCTGTGTCCTTTCCAGTCCTGAGCTGCCAGTTCAGCACCCAGGGAAGGAGAAAAATTCCCATTTTTCCTGTGGAGCTTGGTCTGGCACCATCTCTGATGGGCAGAGCTGTTGCCATAGATGCAGCTGAAACCTGGTTCCCAGTGCCTTTGTTCCTGGCCTCTGAAGTCAGGGATTTGCATGTGGAAACCAGTCAGAAAATTTCCAATTAACTCCCATTTTGATGAGGGGAAAATGGCTTTTTGCCTTTCAAAAGCTCGCCTCTAATTATAACTCTCATTTTCAGTGTATTTCAAGGCTTCTTTCCTATCTTGGAAAGTAAAACCAGGAGTCAGTTCTATTTTTAGCTTCCTTTACATATATATATGTTAATGTACAGGCTTTGGACTTGGAGATTTTTCCAAAAACTCTTCCTCAGAAGAGTTTTCCTTCAAGCTGGGTTAGGGTCAGAGACATGACTTTGGCTGTTGGCCAAAATCCTACGTGACCTTTCTTGGAGCAGCAGTTTCAGTGTCCTGCATTCCCTGAGCAGGATCATCCATTTCCAGGATTAGAAATGGAGAGGCAACAGAAATCCCATCTGGATCAATCCATCCTCACTGGGCTGCAGCAGAAGGACAGTGACAAATCCCCATCCCCACTGATGTCACTGTGACAGGAATTAGGACCTGTTGCCTTAGGAGGGGGTTGGGTTGGGATCCAGCTGCTGGGAGGGAGGGTGAAATCCAGGTGGGTTTTCATGGCTTAGAATCCTCATGGATTCACCTGGGGGGTGAAATCCAGGTGGGTTTTCATGGCCTAGAATCCTCATGGATTCACCTGGGGGGTGAAATCCAGGTGGGTTTTCATGGCTCAAACCAGATTCCATCCTCATGGATTCATTGCACCCAGGTCAAAGCTCAGAGCTCCCTTGGTTCCTCATGTCCTCTCTGGAGAGGACAGAGCCCCTGAGTTTTAGGATAAGAGTGAAATCCAGGTGGGTTTTCATGGCTCAAACCAGATTCCATCCTCATGGATTCACTGCAGCTGGATCAAAGCACAAAGCTCCCTTGGTTCCTCATGCCCTCTCTAGAGAGGAAAGAACCCCTGAGTTTTAGGATGGGAGTGAAATCCCAGGTGGGTTTTCATGGCTTAGAATCCTCATAGATTCACTTAGGGGGTGAAGTCCAGCTGGGTTTTCATGGCTTAGAATCCTCATGGATTCAGTGCAGCTGGATCAAAGCTCAGAGCTCCCTTGGTTCCTTGTGTCCTCTCTGGGGAGGATGGACTCAAAAGTGCCCCCTGCCATCCCATGAAATCCATTTATCCCCTCCAGAGTATGACTTGGAGCCGTGTGACGAGCCAGAAGTGCCGGCCTACAGCATCAGGAAAGGGCTGCAGTTCGGAGTGGGGGACGTGCTGACCTTCTCCTGCTTCCCGGGGTACCGGCTGGAGGGAGCATCCCGGATCACCTGCCTGGGCGGGAGACGGCGTGTGTGGAGTTCGCCTCTGCCAAGGTGTGTTGGTAGGTGGTCATGTGCTTTCATTTTGCTTGGCTGGTCCCGCTGTGCTGCACTCTTGAGGTGGGCAGGGATGGATGGGTGACATCCCTGGGGTGGATGGGTGACATCCCTTGGCATGGGTGACATCCCTGGGGTGGATGGGTGACATCCCTTGGCATGGGTGACATCCCTGGGGTGGATGGGTGACATCCCTGGGGTGGATGGGTGACATCCCTTGGCATGGGTGACATTCCCTGGGGTGGATGGGTGATATTGATGAGGTGGATGGGTGACATCCCCTGGGGTGAATGGATGACATTCCCTAGGGTGGATGGGTGACATTCCCTGGGGTGGATGGGTGACATCCCTTGGCATGGGTGACATCCCTGGGGTGGATGGGTGACATCCCCTTGGGTGGATGGGTGACATCCCCTTGGGTGGATGGGTGACATTCCCTAGGGTGGATGGGTGACATCCCCTTGGGTGGATGGGTGACATTCCCTGGGGTGAATGGGTGACATCCCTGGGGTGGATGGGTGACATCCCTCAGGATGGGATCTTGGGGCGATCTGGAGCAGGGATGGGGGAGAAGCAGCTGGAAGGAGCTTCCAGCCCTGCAGGAGGGCTCAGTGCCCTCCCCAGCTGGGCACAGGGGGGTGACACATCCCCAGGAGGTGACACAGCCCCGTGTGTCCTGCCCCAAGCCAGTGATTCCAGAGCTGCTCCTCCCTTTTCGGGCAGTTCCTGCCAACCAGCCGGGTCTGGGGTATTCCCCCTTGGAATTACAGAGTGCTGTAATCTCCATATGCAGGCAAATAAAAAATAAAAAATAAAAGGATGTGTCTGGGAAACCCCCTGGCTTTGACCTCTCTCTCCCTTGTTCTCCACATGTTTCTTACACCTGTCCCTCCTGACCACTGCAGGTCCCTTTTTAGCTCCTCCAGCCATTGTTTGCACTGATAAATCCGTAAATCCAAGGGTAGAGGAGGGGAAGGATTGATCTGCAGCATGGAGCTGGCTCCTGGCTGCTGTTCCTGGTGCTGCTGGGGTGCAGAACTCTCACCTGGCAGGGATGGGGAGTGTGACACAACAGGGGCACAAGTTTGGGAGGAAGGATGATCCAAGCCCTGGGAAAAACATGCCATATGTTTTTTCTGGTGTATAATTTCAACAAGAGTTCCCAGCTCTGCTCACCCAGAACCTGAGGGATTCCTTCAGATCAAGCAGGGCAGGGCTCTCACCTGGTGGCCTGACCTGCTCAGGAGATTGTCCTGAGCTCTGGGTGACTTTGAGGGCCATTGCAGGGCAAAGCTCCCCACCAGAGCCAGCTGCTGCCTGCTCCTGGCCTGTGCTGCTGAATTTCCCAGTGCTGCTGAGCTCCGAGGCCTCATCCTGCTGGGACAGGCAGCCTCTTCAGGGCAGGAATAACAATCAGGCTGCAGATAAAGCTCATCAGGGGAATGAGAATTAAAAAAAAATATCATTTACAGAGCTTTAAACACAAGCCTGAGACAGCAGCACTAAGTGACACTCTGGCTGCTCTTCCCTGGCTTGGAATTAACAGCTTGGGTTTATCATAACAGGGCAAACTCGGGGCTGATGGCCCAGAGCTCTGTGGCAGGGTGACAGCTCTGTCACAGTGTCCCCAGCGCCTGCTCAGATCTGCCTGGATAGGGATGGAAATGGGAGACTGACTCAGAAAGATCACAGGAGATTTAATTGCTTTTCCAGACACTCTGTATTCAGCTCCTGTCCTAGAGATGGTCTGGGGAGAGCTGAAAGAGGGTTTTGTTCCTTTGTCCAATCCCTCTGGCCAGGACAGCTCCGTGAGACGTCCCTAGCATCATCCCTGGGGATTCTGTGCCAAAATCCTGCTTTTCATCCATGGCAAGCACAGAGGACAAAGTCACCTCCAAGGTGCCTCCTCTGGGTGCATCTGCTGCTGCCTCCTTCCTCAAAACCCTTCCCTGGAGTGGCAGCAGAGCCAGGAGCTACCCTGGGATGGTTCCCTTGGCTCCAGGAGCTGTGGGGGCTCAGGGACACGAGGTTGATCCCAAAAATTGCTCTGGGGGGACTTTGGAATGACTGTCCCCAGCCCTGCCTGTACCAGAGGAGCAGGCAGCCAGTGTTTGACAGCAGAAAATCTTCCAGGGTAAACAGGCTGGGAAAACAGTGACTCACGGCTCACTCGTGTGGGAGCTCGGCAGGAGGAACAGAAAATCCTCAGCATGGGGTTGTTCAGAGGCAGATCCACACAAATTCATATGGATTCACACAGATTTCTGCTGATTTATACAGATTTCCTACAGATTTCCCACAGATTTCCCACAGATCCACATAGATTTCACAGAGATTCACACAGATTTACATTCATACAGACTCCCCACAGATCACCCCAAATTCCCCCCAAATTCTCACAGAATCACCACAAATTCCCCACAGATCCCCCAAATTCCCCCAGATTTCGTTTTCCCCCAGCTTCCCATGTGCTGAGGGGCTGTGGATGTGTGTGACAAACCAGCTGCACTGGGATCCTTGCTGGGATCAGGCTCTTGGGGCTGGTGTTATCCATGGGGGACATCCCTGGGATGCACTGGGATTTCTGTTCCTGCCTTTTGGAGGGAAGATCCACCCACGTCAGTCTGTCTGCTCACTGTGACGTGTCCCCGTGAGCGGGACACTGTGCCCTCGGAGCTGGGAATGGAGTTGGTGTTTGCCAGATCCAAGTTGTGAGCTCCTCACACCCAGAATGGGCTGAGCCTCCAGAGCTGCCACTCTCTTCCTCCTCTACCCAGGATCCTTCTGCCAAGTTCTGAGGCCCACAGAATCTTCTGACTTCAGGTTTGGCTGGAAGTCAAACGCTCAGAGTAGAGGAGGAAGCAGATCCTGGGTAGATCCACATGGAATCAGCAGAGATTCCCCCAGGTTCCCAAAGATTCCCCCCAGATTTACATTTACACTGAAGGAGGAGAGAAGCCTGGCTAGGAAAATGTGATGGAAAAGGGGGCAGTCTGCAGGTTGCAGTGGATAACAACAGGGAGAAGCCTCTTTCCTTGCTGCTGCAGGAGCAGCTGTGGCCTTCAGAGGAGTCACCTGCATGTGTGGTACGGCCAGAACGCGTGTGGGGTCACTGAAATACGCGTTTGTGTCTTGCTGCAGCTGAGTGTGGCTCGTCCGTGACGGGAACCCAGGGTGTGCTGCTGTCCCCCAACTACCCCCTGAACTACAACAACAACCACGAGTGCATCTACTCCATCCAGAGCCAGCCAGGGAAAGGCATCCAGCTGAAAGCCAGGACCTTCGAGCTGGAGGCAGGAGATGTCCTCAAGGTAATTCTGCCTCAGGTAGTGGAGCTGCTCATGAGAGCAACTAAGTGATCTAAAATTTTAATGGGAGTGACCTCTGGAAAAAGCTGTGTCATCCCAGGAATGCTCCAGTGCCATGGAGTGATTGCTATGGCAGTTTGGAAGAACAAATTTCCCCCAGACCAGCTAAACTTCAGCTCTCACCTGTGGAGTTGCACTCTCATCCATCACAAGTGGGAGCGTTTGAGCATTATTTTAATGCTTTGAAGAATCAAGAATGGTTTGTCCCAAAAAGGGGCTGATTGAAATGCAGAACTCCAGACTCTTCTCAGATTATTCTAGCTCCAGGATTCTGTGGAGGAGGAGACAAATTCAGGCTGAGTTTTTTATTAAGCAAAGGAATGGTTTTGAAGGAGACATTAATATTACAAGGACGTGCTGAGCCATCTTGCCAGGACTGCCTCCGTCCTCACTGAAGTGCCACACTCCAAGAGAGGTGTAATCCAGGTTTCCAGCTCACAAGTGACTGGAAAGAGAGAAAGATTTCCTGTTAATGCAAGGAATGTGCTCCTTGTCAGAGGAATTATGTTCTCTCAGCAGGTTTGTCATCAACTGCTCATCTGAGGAAGGTTCCTATCAATCTCCTAGTGAGGAGCTGCTCTTGGTTCTCACAAAAAGAAGAAAAAGATCCCATTTGTGTTTTTTCTTAAATGAGAGTGAATTCAAGACTCATCTCTGAGTCAGTGTAGGGGGGAAAAAATGTTTTTTTTTTTCCAGTAGCTGCTTCTTGGGAAAGAGAGTTGAGGAGATTCCCTGTGTGTGGAGTAAGTCAGGAGTGAGGAGGAGGAGGAGGGTGCAGATCCTCCAGGGTATAAATCCTGCTCCTCAGGTGGGCAACACTGTGGAGTTCATCAAGTCAGACTTTTAGTTGAGATCCTGGATGCCAACTCACATTGCCTGAAGGATTTGTCCCTGTTTGCACTGATCACCTGTGGCACAAATCCTGAAGGGCTGGAGTTGCTTTTCCAGCCTGATGCTGGAATTCTGAGTGGGGCTGGTTGTTTCCTTCCATTCTCCCTCCAGTACCTGGGAGCTCCATGCCAGGAGCAAATTCCTTGATCTGAGTGTGGGTGACCCCAAATCAGGGCATTTATCAGGATCTGCTGGCTCTTCCCAGGAAGCTGCTCCACCAAAAAAAGCCAGAGGACAGCCCAGGGTGTTGCTGTGAGCAGAGCAATGTGGGAATGGGATGAGGGGTTGTGAGGTGTCTGAAGGGACCTCAGCACATTCTTTCTCCTCATTCTCATTTTGGAATAAATTTCGCAGCATTTCTCTGTTCTAGAGCTCAGTGAAACTGCAGAGAAATCCTGGAATGGTTTGAGTGGGAAGGGACCTTAAGGATCATCCAGTGCCACCCTGTGCCATGGGCAGGGACTCCTCCCACTGTCCCAGGCTGCTCCAAGCCCCATCCAGCCTGCCTTTGGATACTTGCAGGCATCCAGGGGCAGCCACAGCCTCTCTGGGCAGTGAATGGTTTGTTCCCTGGAATTGCACAGGAATGGCTTTTCCAGGCTGGATTTCTCATTCCCCCCAGGTCTACGATGGCACCAACAGCTCTGCCCGGCTGCTGGGCACCTTCAGCCGCTCGGAGCTGCTGGGCACCAGCATCAACAGCACCTCCAGCTCCATGTGGCTGGAATTCATCACTGACACCGCCAACACCAGCAAGGGCTTCGAGCTGCAGTTCTCCAGTGAGTGGCAATCCCATGTGTGCTGGCAATCCCACTGCTCAAGGTGGATTCTTGTGTTTTTGTGTTGTGTGTGAGCAAAGGGTCCTTTCTGTGGTGATCTTGTACCCAAAGTGGAGCTGGAGTGTGAGAGAATACAGAATCCCAGGATTACTGAGGGTGGAAAAGCCTCCTATCCCATCAAGTCCAAGCTGTGCCTGATCCCCAGCTTGTCACCGAGTGCCACATGCAGGCAGTCCTTGGACACCTCCAGGGATGGGCACCCCAAACCTCCCTGGGCAGCTCTGAGGCCTGAACACCCTTTCCATACAGAAATTCCTGCTGATATCCAACCTGACCCTCCCCTGGCACAGCTTAAGGCCTTTCCCTCTCCTCCTGTCCCTGTTCCCTGGGATACAATCAAACCTTTCCTGCTGAGCCTGTCACAATCCAGAAATTCAGATCACAGCTCCAACATTAATTAAAACTTCACTAATTTCCCAATATGCCCCTTTTGGTTCCAAACAAGTGATTTTCAGAAGAAAAACCCACCATGGCATTGTGTGCAACCCTCCTGACTGTGACATTCCCGGTGCCAACAGCTGCCCTTCCTCCCTGCTGCAGGTTTTGAGCTCATCAAGTGTGAGGACCCCGGCATCCCCCAGTTTGGGTACAAGGTGCATGACGAGGGACACTTTGCTGGCAGCTCGGTGTCCTTCAGCTGTGACCCTGGCTACACCCTGAGAGGCACCAGGGTGCTGGTGTGCCTGACCGGGGAGAGGAGAGCCTGGGACCAGCCCCTGCCGACCTGTGTGGGTGAGACACCTCCTCCACCACCTCCTCCACCACCTCCTCCACCT